GACTTATCAAGAAGAAAAGAGGAAATAAACCAAATAAATAAAATCATGAATGAAAGGGGAGAGATCACAACCAACACCACAGAAATACAAAGAACTATGAGAGAATATTATGAAAAATTTTATGCCAACTAACTGGGAAATATGGAAGAAATGGCTAAGTTCCTAGAAATACACAAATATTACCAAAACTGAAATAGAAAGAAGTAGAATATTTGAATAGACACATAACCAGCAAAGAAATTGAATCAGTAAACAAAAGTCCAGGGTCAGATGGCTTCCCAGGGAAATTCAACCAGACATTTAAAGAAGAGTTAATAATTATTCTTCTCAAAGTGTTTCAAAAAAAAAAATGGAAGGAAACTTCCAAACTCATTCTATGAAGTGAGCCTTACTTTGATTTCAAAACCAGATGAGGACCCCACTGAAAAAGAGAATTAGAGGCCAATATCCCTGATGAACATGGGTGCAAAAATTCTCAACAAGATACTAGCAAATTGAATTCAAGAGTACACTAAAAGAATTATTCACCACAATCAAGTGGAATTTATTCCTGAGATGCAGGGATGGTTCAATATTTGCAAATCTATCAATGTGAAACACCACACTAATAAAAGAAAGGATAAGAACCAAATGATCATCTCAATAGAGGCAGAAAAAGCATTTGACAAAATAGAGCATCTGTTCTTGATAAAAACCCTCAACAAAGTAAGAATAGATTGAACATATCTCAATGTCATAAAGTCCAGATAGGAAAGACTCACAGCTAAATTCATGCTCAATGGAGAAAAACTGAGAGCATTCCCCCTAAGGTCAGGAACAAGATAAGGATGTCTACTTTTACCATTACCATTTAACATAGTACTGGAAGTCTTAGCTTCAGCAATAAGACAACAAAAAGAGACAAAAGCATCCAAATTGGCAAGTAAGAAGTCAAATTTCACTATTTTCAGAGGACATAATAATCTATGTAGACAAAGTCACAGGATATAAAGTCACAGGATATAAAAACATAAAAAATATACAGAAATCTGTCCATTTCTATACACCAATAATGAAGCAGCAGAAAGAGAAATCAGAAATTGATCCCATTTTAAACTGTACTAAAAACAATTAGATGCTTAGGAATAAACCTAACCAAAGATCTAAAAGATCTGTACTCTGAAAACTATAGAGCACTTATGAAAGGAATTGAAGAGGACACAAAGAAATGGAAAAAAAAAACATTCCATTTTTATGGATTGGAAGAACAAACATTGTTAAAATGTCTATGCTACCCAAAGCAACCTACACATTTAATGCAATCCTCATCAAACTACCACTAGAAGTTTTCACAGAGCTAGAACAAATGATCCTAAAATTTGTATGGAACCACAAAAGATGCCAAATAGCCAAACCAATCCTGAAAAAGAAAAACAAAACTAGAGGCATCACAGTTCTGGACTTCAAACTATGTTACAAAGCTGTAGTAATCAATACAGTATGGTAACGGCACAAACACAGACACATAGACCAATGGACAGAATAGAAAACTGAGAAATAGAACCACAACTATATGGTCAACTCAACTTCAACAAACAGGAAAAAAATATCTATGGGAAAAAAGATAGTCTCTACAACAAATGGTGTTGGGAAAACTGGATGATGACATGCAGAACAATGAAACTGGATAACTTTCTTACACCTTACAACAAAATAAATTCAAAATGGATGAAAGACCTAAAAGTGAGACAGGAAACCATAAAAATCCTAGAGGAGACCACAGGCAGCAACCTCTTTGCCCTCAGTCGTACCAACTTCTAACACTTCACCAGAGGCAAGGGAAACAAAAGCAAACATGAACTATTGGGACTTCATCAAGATAAAAAAGTTCTGCACAGTGAAGGAAACAATTAACAAAATCAAAAGGAAACTGACAGAATGAGAAAAGATATTTGTGAATGACATATCAAATAAAGAATTAATATCCAAAATCTATAAAGAACTTTTCAAACTCAACACCCAAAAACCAAATAATCCAGTTAAGAAACGGGCAGAAGAATAATTTTTCCAGAAAGACATCCAGAGGCTAACAGACACATGAAAAGATGCTCAACACCACTCATCATCACAGAAATACAAATCAAAACTATAATTAGATAACATCTCATACCTGTCAGAATGACTAAAATTAACAACACAAGAAACAATTGTTCACGAAGATGTGGAGAAAAGGGAACAGTCTTACACTGTTGGTGGGAATGCAAACTGGTGCAGCCACTCTGGAAAACAGTATGGTATGGAGTTTCCTCAAAGTTAAAAATAGAACTACACTATAATCCAGCAATTTCAGTATTAGGTATTTATTGAAAGGATACAAAAAATTATTTGAGCTGATTTGAAGGGGTATATGCACCCCATGTTTATAGCAGAATTATCGACAATAGCCAAACTATGGACAGATCCCAAATGTTCATTGACTGATGAACACATACAATGAACAGGTTCATGAATAAACAAGGTGGAATATTACTCAGGCATCAAAAAGAATGAAATATTGCCATTTGCAATGGCATGGATGGAGCTAGAGTGTATTATGCTAAGTGAAATCAGTCAGAGAAAGACAAATACCATATGATTTCACTTATATGTGGAATTTAAGTAACAAAACAGATGATCATATGGGAGGGGGAAAAAGAGGTGGAAACAAACCTTAAGAGACTCTTAAAGATAAGTTTGATGGAGGGATGTGGGAGGGGTATGGATGATGGGTACTAAGGAGGGCTCTTGTTATGATGAGCACCGGGTATTGTATGTAAGGGATGAGTCACTGAATTCTGCTCCCGAAACCAATATTGCACTGTATGTTAACTAACTAGAATTTAAATAAAAATTTGAAAATAAAAAAACAAGAAACGAACAACAACAACAAAAAAAAAACCATATCCTTCAGCCCTAAAATTGCCTACATACCATTGTAATTCCACCCTTCAATTGGACCCCTTCTTCAGACAACCACTGATCTATTTTCTAACGATCAATGGGCATTTTCTAGAATTTTATAAAAATGGCATCACACAACATGCATTCTGTTTGACTTGAGTTTTTACTCCATATAAATACTTTGTTATACACCTATGTTGTGCATGTCAATAATTCTTCTTTTTTGTCTTAGTTCAGGGTGATATAACAAAATATGACAGACTAGGTAGGTTATAAGCAATATACATTTACTTCTCATAGCTCTGGAGGCTGTAAGTCTGAGATCAGGGTGCCAGCATGTTCAGGTTCTGGTGGGAGCCCTCTTCTAGGTTACAGGTTGCCAACTTCTTGTTGTATCTTTACATGGTTGTAGGCGTTAGGCAGCTCTGTAGGCTCTCTTTCCAAGAGCACTATTCCCACTCATTCCCACTATTCCCACTCATGCGGGCTCCACACTCATGACCTAAGCACACCCAAGGGCCCCATCTCCTAATACCATCACACTGTGCATTAGGACTTTAACAAATGAATGGATGGGGCCAAGCACTCAGACCATAGGATTTTTATTTCTGAATGGTATTCCATTATACAGATCAGGACTGGCTTTTACACTTCCATGTAAAATTTGGTGTCAACTTGTGAATTTCTACCAAAAACGTCTAATAGGATTTTGAT